TTAAACAAAATTTTCTGCAGTACCTATATTACAAAGGGAAAATTGTAAACTATAAAATGGGTATAGGTAAATATGACAATTTTATTCTGCTAGTCCTAAAAATGTACAATAACTTTTGATGTAAAATACAATTATTTGTATTTTGTTAAGCAATATAAAATCATAATAGGTGTGTTAAATATCATAATAAATGGATTTAAACGGTGTTTGTGCGAATATAAAAAAAATAAGAAGGCCTCAGAGATATTTAATTTAAATATTGTTTTAAAATATGGTACAAACAAATTTTTGGGGATGCAACATATGTAAATTCGACTGTCTTATACATAGAGGTCAATAGCTGAGTCATCTTCCAATGGTATTTTAGATGATAATTTGCTTGAGTTAGTTTTCTTGCATTATATTCACCCAATTTTTATTTTCATACCAAATTGTTGAAATAGCTAAGAAAATCAGTGTTTTTGAGAAAAATATAATTGACTGTCACTGTCAACTAATTTATGTACGGAAATTTTTATTATTGTTATTAATATAAGTGAAGTGAAAGTAAAAACCTATAAAACGCAGAAGACAAAAACAAGAAGTAAAAATCTAATTATAAGCATACAATATAATATAAAACAGAATATGAAACATGTAATGAATACAAACAAATTGCAATTATAGAAAATTAAGTACATTATTAAGTTTATCTTCTAAGGTATTTATGAAATAAGCATTTACAACACTCTTTAGTAACAAATTCCAGTCATGGAACAAACAATTGCACAAAAAGCTATCTATATAGTGTGATTCAGAACTTACCCAAAAAAAATTTTGAATGTACAGGGGACTCTCACAAATACAATTTAAAAAAAATCAAAAAGGGCAGTTCGAAAATGATTTAAAAATACACTTCTGCACGGCACTGGAAACTGGTCCACCGTAAAACCTCACCTTGCGCAAGACAAAACATGTAATAAAAAATGAGCGGACAAAAATATTAAAGAATTTCTTTCCCAAGGAAAGAAATAAATAAAATTTTATAAAACCTATTTTAAATCAACAAATTTACTACTTTTGCCGCAGTTGTTATTAATAAAATTATATTTGACATACCTGATACAATAACTGTTTAAAATTTTGTCCACCGAAGTGTAAACACATCTGGGCCCGTCGTACCCAGTTTCTACGAACTAACACAAATGTTGTCTTGCTTCACTATAACACAAATCTTCACCACAACACAAATGTTGACTTGCTTCACCATAACACAAATGTTGTTTGATTCACCGTAAATTAAAGCGATATCCATCAACTCCGAGTTGCATACACGTAAGCCATTTTTGTCACTTGAAAAAGTAATGTAAACACTATTACAGAAACGTTAATAATAAAATCGGATTTCAGTGTTCGGAATCGCCTGGGGCCATGTGCAGGGAGAGCGAATTGCGTACAGCGCACAACGCGAATGACGCTAGTGACTACAGTATCCCAGCAATGTAATGGTTTTAAATACTACAACTTCAATATTTTTTTTTTCGGAAACTATAAGGACTTTACAAAATTTTTTTTTACGATATTGACTCCATTTGTCATGACGCATCTATTCCCAATTTTTTTGTGAATCATCCTGTATATAGTCACCATAATTCGATGGTTAAGCTTGTAAGTATGGCCACAAAGTCGAATATCACTATAACATGTAAAAAACCTGTAGAATACACTCCATGAAGCATGCAATAAGTAGTAATTAGGCTTCCATGTTTAAGCCATTTGGTTTCGGGGATTAATTTGAAGATAATTGATATAACCTTTCTATATTTAGTAGTTTCAATTGAAGGAGATATTTTTTTTGAGATAGTAAATAACAAGAGTTTAGAAAGGTAATTAAAAATACATAGAAATACATCAAAATCAGTTTTCTGTCAATTGTTTCTGGCAATGAAATGAAATGATATTGTAGTCTTGGGTTACATATTTTCAAATTTTTTGGAGTCCGGATATATTAACTATTTTTTTCTTCAATCTGTTACAACAACAAAGTTTTCCTGCTATAGTTGACAGTCAGAAATAGGATTCCCACAAATGTTTGTGTCAGAAAAAGTAATGGGCCAAGTACTGAGCCTTGAGGAACACCACTTGTAAAAAAATAATATTCCGAGACGTCGGTAACTATTTTCACACGAAAAAAAAAAACGGTTGCTTAAAAATGCAGTAATACATTTGAGGAGATCATCCGTAATATCTACAAATTCAATTTTAGAATGGATGTGTCTTATAATGTAAAGTATCGAAGGATCTGATTCTTCAACTCATTCTAGGCAAAACTTCATATAAAGTAAGTTTTAGGGTGGTCAATATTTGTCTTACAGAGCGCTTAAAATATGATTACATTTTTAGTTATTTATATTTAGTTCATTTCCCTGTTTGAGATTTTTATCGCACATAGGTCTCCGTTGAAGCTGTTTTGACTAGAATTAGAGTTACATCACGTTTCTACATAATTTTAACAGAGGGCGCACGAAACTGATTTCTTCAATTTTTTATGTAGTTTTTGTAATCGCTTTTCCATACTGGATAACAAATATCTCTAGATATTTTCTCTATTGCAGCTTAATATAAGAGTAAAAGACAATTTTAACAATGAATGAAATGCTCCCGTTAAATTATCAATTCCATGTCGTTTTGTAGATAATAATTTTGTATTTCATAAATAAAAGGATACCTCTACTTTATTAAATTGGGATTAATAATAAAGCAATGTTTTAAGAATCGACTGCAGCAGTCAACTGGACTGGAAACGGTGAATTTTCGAAAACTTCAATAGATGTACCTTTTCTGCTTAAAATCAAGTTTCAATACAATGTACACAACTCCCTTGGGAAAGGTTAATTCTAAAATGTCGCTTGTCAAAGGTAGTTAAAATTATTCATAGTGGCAGTGATATATTCAGTATCCTCAAAACTTGCCAATAATTTGAAACCAAATCATAAGTAACTCTAGACATTTTTTTTTTGTATTTAGAAGCTACAATGTTGTGAAACTACAGACTGGTGAGCCAGAATTAATTTAAATTAAATTTCCAATCTTGTATTCAGTATAGTAGGCTAATAAAAATTTTATAATGGAAAAAAAATCAATTTGTTAATATTGATTACACTTCCTTCTAAAATGTAGTCCATTGTTTACTTTCAAATGAAAAAATAAATCAAATAAGCAGTCTGTAAATTACTATATTACTGTTGAAATTCTTCCTTTAGGTATTTTATATAAGCCACCATTCACCTGAGTTAAAAACGAGACCCGTGCAGAATTCCATAAGTTTCTAATTTAATTATTATTTGACAAGCATGAAAAAGGGTCAATGATTGAGAAAAATTGAAATGAACTTGTATAGATTGTTATAAGTAGTTCAGCGTTTGCAAATTGAAAGTTGATTTTCTTTTCAGATTGATCCCACATTCCTGAAAAATTGTAGTAATCTGCCCCGTTCGATTTTCTCCTTATTAAAATAAAGCATAGAAATATTCCGAATTCTTCACAACATTATTTGGATTTTATACGGCTTAACACCATTGATGGCAAGTGGATTGAACATCAGTACTTGTGACTCCGACGATACCCATGTAAAGTGGAACAGTTCTCCACTTACGGCGCCATTAGTATGGCAATTAAACAGGCAGGATAATTAAATCAATTTCTACTTCCCATGGAAACCGCGTCCACTATCAATTTTTATCTTTTAAGGAGAAATATCTTATTAATTAAAGGTCAGCATCAACGGTATACTTAATTATTAACGCCCGTATCTGCTACTGTTACACAACTAAATAAGTGACTCTGAAGTATACATTAGCTATGGTAATTTTTCAGTGCGTATCTGTCGAAAGTAAAAATTGAAACTAAAGCGCTATCCAGCTTTAACGGGCAATCGTATAGAGGACTTGAAGAATTTGAAAAAAAAATAGGTATCATACAATATTATAGACGTGACTTTTACAGTTGACAGTTCTGCAATTCAGGTAAATAATACTGAATATATCCAAATAACTCATTTAATGATACTCATAACTACGAAATAGAGCAGGAATATTCAAGTTGAAAGTATGTAACAGACGTAATCAAAATAAGCAGATAGATACAAAACATGCTAAATAAAAATTAACGAACATTGTTCCACGAAGAAAATAAGATACGACATTTTGCATGAAGAAATTGGGTTATTATTCCCCTATTATATTTTCTACCTGCACAACACAACGCAATTATCATAAGCTTAAGTAAATGTAAGCCTGTATATGAACCATACCTACGAAAATATAGGATTAAAAATAAACATGCCTTTATAAAATAGTACCTCCAAACAGCAGGACTTATTTCTGTAAAATGGCGACTACTAAAGATAAAGATACAATTTAATCTGTTTCGTTTACTAGAAAAAGGATACTCAAATGTATCCAAAACTCCTTAAAACATATGTTATATTTCTGGCAGTCCTATTCTGTCATCATGTACCCAGAAGGCACAACTAATAACAAAAGAAGCTGGTTGCGAATCATATTAACAGTATTAGCCATCATAGCAACTGTTATTATAATTATTGTATGTTACGTGTTGCCTACACAACTATGGACTCTTTCAAAAAATAATAATGCTCTTACTATAACCATTGTAACCAGTACTAACAACATAGTTACTAAAAACTGCAAATCCGCATTTAACTATTACAAAATTTGCTACTGTATGCATGATACAATAATCAAATAAACCTGATTTACAATCATTTTAATCTCATTCGTTCATTGATGCAAGAACTGATTGTATCAGCAGCAACAATAGCAAACTCATTTTTGGGGCTACAATCTTATAACAGATATCTCAATTCAATATATTTCCCTGAAAGCAGCAAATATTATTGACAATAAAAAATTGTGTGAGTTCCAATTGAAAAATGTTGAACTAGAAACTCGAAAATATTTCAATGTCAACCAATTAACGTTATGTTCTGTTTGTTTCAGATCAACCATTCAGACTTCCCATGAGTGTGGTCGACACGGGCCTATCCTGGCTCCGCTACTTACCTCCTCTACCTCTAACTCTTCCACTTACAATGCGTGAAAAAGACTCTTCCCCTCGCAAGATGCTGGTGGCTTCCGGAGGCCACAGTTCACCAAAGCAAGCCGCCGTCTATCCCCTCTCCATCAGGGTGCCTCCTGGTGATGAGATGCCCTTCGACCTATCCCGTAACACCAGGTCGCCAGGCCCACATATGTCCCCAGCGGGTCGACCTCCCCCAGGTCCCCAAGACGGCGACGACCAACCCCTAGATCTAAGAGTAGAGCACAAGAAATTATCATTGATGATTATGAGGAGACAAGTGGAAGACGAAAACAGGAATCTTATATCGCCTACGCCTAGTGTTAGTAGTGACAAAGACGATGTGATAGTGGAAGATAGAAACAGTCCGGTTCAAAACAGTAGTACCAACAGTAACAATAATAACAACAATAACTTACCAAAAACGTTTAGTCCGCAGTTGCCTGGTTATCCAGGAATGTTGTTTCCTCCTCAACCTATCCACCCGATGATGTTGGAAGCTATGTACCGTGCTCAAAAGGGAGAAAACCTGCCGCGGTTACCCTTGCCTTACCCTAATTCACCTCCAAGTTATCCTCAAAGATACCCCTTCCTTAGCCCCTCGATGTTAAGCCCACCAGTGAACCAGGTGCCTTTTGATATGTTACGGAACCCACCTACCCCACAAACACCTAAAGTATACGACCCAGCGGGAGGGAAAATCAAGGATCGTTACGCTTGTAAATTCTGCGGTAAAGTTTTCCCAAGGTCTGCCAACCTCACTAGACATCTAAGGACTCACACTGGCGAACAACCTTACAAATGTAGATACTGTGAGAGATCTTTTAGTATATCCAGCAATCTTCAAAGACACGTTAGGAACATTCACAATAAAGAAAAACCATTCAAATGTCCTTTGTGTGAGAGATGTTTCGGGCAACAAACCAATCTGGATAGACATCTGAAGAAACACGAAGCTGATGGTCCAACGATCTTGGACGAGAGAAACTTGCAAAGGAGGAACTTAACAACCAGGAATTTAAGTGAGGAGTCTTACTTTGAAGAAATTAGATCATTTATGGGAAAAGTTACAGACGGCAGACTGTTGCAACACTTGCAACCTCCAAAGCAACTACCAAACTTCCCCATACCTCTTCCTAAGCTATTCGACCCTGCTAAGTCAGGCCAAGATAAACCTGTATCTCCTGAAGACGCAAAAAGGGACTCATCCTATTTTTCGGACAAAGACAATTATTCTTCAAGGTCTTCTACTAGCTCCGAGACTTCTAACAAGGAGGAAGACAACGACTGCAAGGTAAAAAGTACTGAGGAAATGATGAAGCAGGAAAACGAAGATATTAGTAATAATAATAATAACAATACTTGATTCAGGTAACAAATTGTGATATATGGAAATGTGACTTAGATCTTAAGATGGTTACGAATTTTTATCAATGTGATTAGAAGGAAATTATTTCAAAATTGGCTGTTCTAAAAACTCTACATTGAAAAGTAACTTGGCTAATGATAAATTGATAACATAGATTAAGATCATTTTTAAATGAAATTCAAGTGTCAAGGAGAAGCCAGGTTCACTTACTAAAGAGGCTCATTTGACTTTAATAAATGATTAATGAGAAATGTCCTCATTTCTAAGAATACAATTCCTTTAAAAAGTTTCCTGGTTGCGCTTCTGGGTAAGCTGAAGTTAGATCTGAAGTAACAACTTGATTTAATTTTCGCTGATCTGATTTCGTTTAAAACTTTGATAATGCGTACTAAAATGTGAAGGGATCAGGAGACATTAATAGCAGAAAAAAGAGAGAATTTAATATGTCTTCATATTTATTACAATTTTCTATTATTTTTTAAGTTCAGGTACTACAAAGAGAGAACCTCTATGAAAGAAATCAGTCACTGTAAAATAAAGTGGAAGAATTATTTAATTATATTTATGTATCAAGTTGGCCGGCTAAAACTGAGTTTGATAGATTGTTTCAAGCCAATAATGATGGTAATATTATTTCATACTCCGGATATGTTTAATTGTGCAGAAGCCTATACGTCTTAAGCCCTTTTCCGTGTTTTAAATCATTTAACATTGATTAAATTCAATATTTAGGTGTGTTATTCCAACATATCCAGCGGTGTTACCGAAGAACATTGCCTATATACGGAAACATGAACTTTAGATAGATATTAATTTTTTCAATGCATTCAATGTGTTGTAATATCCTTTATTCACTTAAGCGTTTCGCAAAATGATTCGGAAGAGAGTGGCCTGACCAGCTTGATTGAATTTATTCTACTAACGCAAGTACAGTTCAACTCACACCAAAGGACAATAACAGGATATTAGAAAAAAACTATTTACAATAAAGTTTTAATTTGCAATTGTTTCTCGTGAAAAGTTACTTTCCCTTTAAACTTCTTCTGTCACAATTTCACTTCATTGTTAGGAGATTGTAGGAAAAAAAAACGTTGACAAAACACGTAGTTGTCGCCAAGACTAAACAGATCACTTTGATGACTGAAGTGTGAAATATATGTACCAGTTTTTTTTCTAAGGCTGAATAGAAATGGACAGTGATCTCGACCGACTAGCAAGTCACGTACATTTTTATTTGTAACAGCCAATTTGCTGGTAGAGTGCCAATCCCAATCTACTGTATTGAACGAACTGGGCGATACCTTCTTTTAATTAATTTTTTTGTCTTCATCTCAGTTTACTATTTCCTGTTGGTTTATAGCGCTCGCGCTCCTCTAGAAAAATGCATGCTCGCCTCAAAATAAAAAAGGCTTATTCAATTCCAATACCATCGAAGAAAGTGGCCTCACCGACCGTATAATAATTGGAAAGTGATTTTTATTAGACGATATAAATCGGAAAAAAGCGGAGCATTCGACGAGCTAATATACGATTTACTTTAATATATTCCGTTCGAAGTAATTTGTAGACCGTTGTCACATTTAATCGGATTCATTTAAGGATAATTAGACGTTGGACGTACAATTCCGTAAGTAATTAACCACTCAGACTTAGAGCTCTATTTGTTCAACTTTATATGGGCATATTCTACTTCTTTCGTTGAGCCTCACTTCCTTGACTGAGGCGGATTGGAAAAAATTCGAGTGCAGGTAATGCAGAAGCGTATTATTCCGTGTTTGGTGTCTTGGGAAGCTTATAAGTTCTCCAAGTGGCATTATTGCTTCAAACTGTAACACAATAACCTGAAATTAATCAGAACCTAGATATAATTTTAAAAACTGAATGAACAAATAAACTGAACAATTTAGGCATATTAATTTTTCTATTTTCAATGAATAAAGAAACAATTTGTTATCACCTAATTTCTTCCAGACTGTTTATCTACCATCTTTCATCTTCATTCACTAAATATAGCTGTATTAATATCCTATTAACTAACAACAAACAAGATTACTAAAAATTATATTTCATCTAGGTTTTCCTTTATTACGGCAAAAAGATTTTATAAATTATGGCTATTTAGTTCAATAAGCTCAAACTTTCAATTAAGTTATATCTTTTTTACTGTAACATCAAAAGTACACTCACTAATCTTCTCAGAATTTTATCGGATTTTGGAGTGTAAAAAATGGTAGTCAATTACTGGATATGGGGAAACCTTGTAAAATTATCGTCACAATTCCATACAATTTAAACGCTTTTATCTTGTAAATGGTTTGTTTTAAATTTTTTTCACTTAAAAATGTGCGAAAATCTTAAAAGTGGTGATCAATATTAAAAAAGTAGGTCAAGGCGCTCTGCCCCCGGGCCTCCAAAATAGCTATTATTGAATGTATTATTAAAAATTGCTTCAGCAAACAGTTTTTTTGCAAAAAAATATCCAAATTAAAACACAAGCAAAAAAATTATAAATTGATTTTCAACTTCAAGAGCCCGAATAAAAAATTTATATTAAGTTGAGACGTTATTCTTGCCAGTCTTACCCATATCTGGGAGGTTCCCCACCACTTCTTGGACACTTTGTCTTTTATAATTTTTACCAAATCTAAATCTGACCCTCGAATGGTATTACTGTCACTATAACTTTACTTGTTGCTTCTTGAAAGACGTATGAAAACTTTTTTTCGTCTAGAATCATGTAATTTGACAACCTGAATAATGAGAAAATGAAATTTTCATTCAGATTCCAGTTGTAGTATCACATAATCGATTGCAATGTGTATGTTACAATCGACAGCTTCAGCCGCCAGACAATACTTTTATATCAGATTCTTTCAACATCCTACATGAGCATCTACTAGTATAAAACAAAAACGCGATATTCCGTTCGAACAAAAAGTTGGGATTCTTACAGCATTAAGCGATAAATAAAACAAATACAATTTATCCTCTTCGTTATTGCGACCACTCATCATACCTTCTCCAAATGAAGAACTGCAATGTAATAACATTTAATCTTAAAAATCCGTTCTACTTTTTTCACTAAAACAAGTTATTGGTAAAGTCGCATCAGACAGATATATATCTGGATGGGAACGGATATCAGACATACTTCACAGTGCTGGTTTTGTCTCTATCACCTATATAAGTTTTATGTCTCACACATTGACATTCCACCTAAATGCTACAAGTTGCATGTTAGATGTTAGATTCGTAGGAAATATTCAACAAAAAATTAATGCGCTATCACGTTCGAATAAATATGCAGTATTTGTGAAGAAATTTAATCTATGAATAACTGAGTTTCCTCATTTTCATATTCTTTTTATAAGGGCATACAGAGAGAATACAATATGTCAAAAATTAAAGAATGCATTCTTCTTACAAATTTGGGGATATTATTTTATACAGATGCCCCCGTTTTTGAAATACGGTTTGTTAAAATTTAAATATCTTCTGAATAAATGAAGGTTTTTCAATATTATTGTCTATAAAATATTTCTTATGTAACTTTTTTTTTTTTGCTATACTGTAAATTTTATGTGCACAATATGTGAATGAAATGGCGATAATCCTGATAAAAGCACAAGTCCAACCTCAAATCAATGGCATGCTATTCTTCTCTAAAATTGTGGCACGGTCCTGAAAATTCTCTTTCGTCGTCTCTGCTACAAAAATTTTATTTTAAACAGAAATGGTCTCCTGACTCAAAAACGAAGACCAAAAGGAGATAATTTTCTTACATTTCTAGGGCGTAAAATTAATTTCGCAAAAAATTTGTTCTAGTTTCAGTTTACTTTATATCTATCTTATAATTTTTCTTCAATATTTCTCATTTCCTAATTTTCTTATTTCCTTTCACTTAGACCTATAATCTTTTATTTTCATCAATATCTACTTGTAAATTCATAATTCAAACACTTTTTTATTAACAATAACTTGACTTATATTTTATTTTTACTGGTTTAACTTAAAACATGGACGAGGTTTCTAAATCTGTAATGCAAAATGAAATATTAACATACAAATTTTACAAAATTTGACATGTCTGCCTCTTCTCTTACTTTTATTTTTGCTTCTCTTTTCAATTTTTTTGTTGTTTTGATTTTGATATTTTCTACCTCTTTTTCTTCATCCGCTTCTTCTGATTACTATTCTTCTTCCTCTTTCTTCTTCTCCTTTTCCTCTTACCCTGTCTTTCTGTCTTAACAATATTTTCACTGTATTTTTATTCTTGTCTCTTTCTATTCTTCCCCAGCTTAAATAAATTTCTTGAAAATTTGAGCCATAACATTTTCTGCTATTTCAGTCATATACGAATAAATACGTATTTAATTTGAAAAAAAAACTTGTTCTTTTTTCCCCTTTTTCTTCTCATTTTCTTCTTATTATTTTCCTCCTCCGCCTCCTCCTCCTTCTCCTTCTTCGTATTATACTCCTTATTTTCTTCTTATTCTTCTATGTCTTATTCTTCTGCATCTTCTGTTTTCTACTTCTCTTCTTTTTCTCCCTCTTCTGGTTCTTCTTACTTTTCTGCCTCTGGTTAAATTAATTTCTGTAAAATAAAGTTTGCGTGATAATTACTTCCTTAGTAGTCATCGACATTTCTACACACAACAATTTATTTCTCTTTGTCTTCCTCTTTTCTTTTCATCTCATTCTCTCCTATTAATTTCCTTCACTATTTATGGTATTATTCTCATCTTCTCGATTTCTCCTTTACCACACATAAATTTAAATCTTCCCTGCTTCTTCATCTTCAATCTATTCTTTCTTATCAAAATCCTTCATTATTATCTTAACATTCTTTGGTATTTGTCTGTTTGTGACAATTTTCTCTATTCGTTCTTCATTTCTATACATAGCAATTTATTTCTTTTCGTCTTCCTCCTCTTTGTCTTCTTCTTCTTCTTCTTCTTCTTCTTCTTCTCTCTTAACTAAATCGATCACTAATTATCTTTTCATTCTTATTTTTTCATTTTCAACTTACATTAATTTCTTCGATATTTGCCCGCATGTGCGTCATGATTTCCTCCATCCGTCGTAATCATCGTCATTTCAGCGCGAGGCAATTTATTCGCGTTTACTGGAAGCGACCACTGAAAGTTTAGCGCAAAGAGGACGGTGTGTCAAACAAGAAATAAAACCAACATCGCCTATGCTAATAGCAAACATCACAGAAAGTAGCTTGCCTTTATCTGGGAAAGATCTGAGGAGCGTATCATTTACCGAGTCAGTTAAAAAGCGGCCTTAAGGCTCCGGCTCAGTTAGAACCCACCCACTTCCGCCTAGAACTCGAGTTTTACGTTTTATGATGTGAGGCACCAAAGATGACCCCGGCAGCTGAGGCGAAAAAATAAATAAAGCAAATAGTCTCAAGGAAGCTCAGTTAAACTGTTGTTTATTCACTTATGCAGAATCGCGAATGGAAAATAACCCATTATAGGAGTAATACAGTTATTTCTGCATTTTTCCTCGCGAATGCGGTTTGATGGAGGACGAGCGATATCAATCATGCTATAATTGGTGTTTTGTCGTTTTCTGAAATATGTGCATGCATGTCGCCGTATTAACATTCCTCGAATTTTTTATCCTTTATCTCCTCGTTTTCATAACTTAATGCTATATTTGCTTTACTGCTTCTTTTAAACAGAATGTCCCAAGTTCTAGGTATGTAAGTATCTATGTAAGTATCTCGGATGAAATTGACAGAGAGATACGTAAATTACGAAATTTTTGCTAGAATTTATCGGCATCTTCAAATATGCCTCGTAATTATACATTTCTTAGTATTAGCTATTTCATCATGTTGATTCTATAAAAGATCTAATTAAACGAAGCTAAATAATTAATAAAAATAATAAAAGGCTAAAACTATTCTAGTTTCCTTCATTAATGAATACAAGTTATCTATTTTTCCAGTCCTATTTAACTTTTTCCCCTACAAACAGTCTAATTAAGATCATATTTATTGGCTTTACTATCTCCCACGTTCCTTTAGTTAATTTTCTGTGGCACTTATCCTAACCAATTTTACCTCACCTTCCCTCTTCTTTCATCATTTCCGTAATTTAACCGTTTTCTTTTCGTAATGTGAATATTTCGACAGATAACAGTATATTCATTCACAAATTACATACCAGCCCTAATTATCGGTATAACAAGCGTAATTCTAGGTCTCCTACGAAACAAAAACCCTTGTTATATCGAAACAAACAATTTAGTGTGAGAATATCCTACGTCGTTAACTAGTACAAATACTTAACTAACAAATAGCCCGATGTGCAGGTGTCATTAGCAAGTTCTTTTGAAGCAATTATCTGGAGGTGATGATACCTCGGTCTTATATGAACAACACTCCATTTCAACGTGTGTGTGCACAATGCTGGTTAAATGGATTTAATGCCATGTACTATTCTCACATCTCGTATAACAATTCTTTTATTACGTGCTAAACATGTTAAAGCTGATGAAGCCACAATGAGGCGTTTCAATTGCGCAAACAATAAATTGTTGAGATACGGGGATAGGGTACTGTAATTTTTTTGGGTATGTACTGTTTAAAAGCTACTTGTTCTTATTCTGTACCTTCTTCTACATTACGTCACTAAAAATACTCTTATATCTTTCTTTAAATGCATTTTCAACTAACTTTACCGTCTCCCTCTTTTTTTCCTTTCTTAAACGTGTTACTAACAATTACATTTTATTTTAATTACATTCTTCTATTAACTAAAATGTTTATCTCTTCTTACATGTTATTTTGTATATAATAGTTGCCTTATTCAATTATTCTTTGATCTTTTTCAAACTAATCTATTCTTCTGTATTCTATCTAAAATTGGCTTACTAATCTACTACTGATTTCTGTTTCTTTTTCCCCTCTTGCTTCATCTAAAAAATGCATTCCCTTTCCTTTAATTATTATTATTTTTTAGTCGGTTTTAATTTTCTTCCTTCTTTTTCTATGTACTTTTTCTTTAATATATATTTTACTGTGTCGAACCTATTGTCTATTTTCTTTCACACTTTCTTTTCTGTAAGGTAAAATAAATATGCAGTTTCTTAATACTGTTTATACTTTTACGGAATCTATTTTCAACTTATTCTCTATTTCTGAAATTAAAGTCAACATACCGTCCTTGAAATAGCTAACATGTGCTGAGTACACCCATAAATCCAGTAGCCTAAGAGAATTCATTTGTTAAATCGTCTTTTAAATAACACCCATTAGTTTATTGTTCACAA